GATAAAATTTAAAAATCAAACAATATTTTTAAAACAGTTGAATTTGGTAGAATTTCGTTACACGAGTACAATATTTCTGGCATAAAATGCTTAGATGACTAGGCATTTATCCATTACCTTCAATGATAGTCAATTCTATTAATTTTGTTTTTATTAAAATGCATTGTTTATGTTACAAAATCGTGTTACAAAACCAATACTGTGCATATCTTTGCTGTTCCTTTCCGATCAACCATCACATTAACGTTTAGTAAACAATGATTTGTCTATCGCAGATTTGTGTGAAAATGAATCGGGGGTATATCGAATTGACGAATCATAAGAAAAGTACAGTTTTATTATTTTATTACACAACCAACCAGCCTATCATAAATTTAAAAAAAACTAATTTAGTGGCCATTTGAAATAATCACAACGATGTTAACTTTCTTGAAGAAACAAAATGTATCTTTGAAAATAAGGGGATTTTTAAACGTCTTCTAAATAGCAAGTCTTCAAATAATTAGAAAAGTATCAGTTGTTCATTTTTATAACTCGCGAGGAATATAATTTTTTTATGGTCTTCTAATTATTTAAGTCAGTTTGTACAGCACATATTATGACACACATACATATATTACTACTTAAACTGATGGAATGGGTGCCATACCAAAACTTTCCCCCCTATAGTATTGTTATTGAACAATTATTCAGATTTAAAGAAAACTGCATGGCATTATTAAAAGATCCACAACTGAATGAGACCATTACAGCAAGAAGAATAGATATGGTTGAAAAAAGAATTGGACAATTGGGTCTAGTCTTAAAATTTCGAGCAGCAAGGATACACCTCGAAAATTATATATGTGTGGGATATTACTGTAGAAACGTTTTACATAGTCACTGCACGCAAAATAGAAAACCCCCAAATCATTGTTTCATGTGGTTGAATTTTAAATCCGGAACACTAACGAAATTAGGAAGGTTTTCAAACTTTGGAACAATACAATTACTATTCACTGTGAACACAGATTTGAATATGTTTCTGGAATTGTAATTAAAACGACAACGAAGATCTGGCAGAAAATCCTGCTATCCACATTAGTTTTTTGAAGTGAAAACATACGAGTGGCGGTGCAACCGTTCGTAACCAGCGCCAAACGTAATGCTATACTGCGATTGTCGCAACTCTACCCCTGGCAGGTATCAGCTGTTGACAGTTTCATCCCATCGGACGCTTAAATGTCACCATAGTGACATCACTATTGTGACATTGAAGCTCCCGATTGCATGAAACTTTGAACAGCTGATACCTACCAGGGGCAGAGTTGCATAAATCGCAGTGTAGAATACTTTGTTTCCCAGAGGGCGGTGCTTTGACTGCAAAAAAACATGGTTTCAATTTTTTTCAAAGATGGGGACGCTTCAGTAGTATATTTTAGCTCGTTGGGAAATTCCAGATGCTTCAATAAATCGATTACAACTCACACAATGAAACAATGAACAAATGACGGAAGATAAGCGTCCATTATATTAATTTTATGTTTTTATTAAAATGTAGTGTTCATACCACAGAATGTGAAAATAATAGCTTTGGTTGAGTGGAATACTCAAACTTCTTTCCAAATAACACACCTTAATTTTTTATGTATAAATATTTTTGCGATTTTCTAAATGTCTGAAGTTTTAATGAAAATCGGAACAATCTCATGCATATGAATGCACTTTCTTGTATACAAACAAAACTTTTAAAAGAAAAAATTCAACCATTTTCCTAAAAATGTTGAAAATGTCGTAGGGACTTGATACAAAAATTAAAATATCTTAACGATCTCCGGAACGGCACAACTATATCTCATTCCTGACATATTTACCAAATTTCAACTTGCATTTAATCTGACAAAGATATGCGTTACATCCATTCCGGACATCCATCCATCCGGACCCCCCCCGTCCATTTATAGAATTTTTTTTCGGGTACAAAATTGGCTGTGTCTCCACCTGCACCAATCGTAACCGTCTGTGAAACAGCTCTACTCTATGTCAGAATATCATGTGAATAACGTGAATAAATGACAATAAAAATGGTGCATTAAGATACATTCAGATTTCTTCTCTAGTTTCCTGGACGATTCTTTTGTTCGTACTACAGTTCCAATCACCACGGCCTTTATTTTCAATCATCACTGATCCATTATTGTTTTATTTTCTTTAGACGTCAAGAGGTTGGAAAAAACGTTTTAAAGAACATTTATTTTGACATTGTAAGACTTCAAGAAGTGTTTATCACAAGCTCATGTGTAAAGTAAAATTATCTTTGGAAATAACGAGAAAAGTATTCCCGGACTAAAGGGATGCACCATCTTGAATATGAAGTCCGAATACTTTTCGTGTAGAGCCTTCTAGTAAATAGATTATCTTTCCACTGCCTCCGCCAGAGGTCTCTAATCGCCTGCGATCACTGCTCGTCGCTCGAGTGGCAGTTCATCATTTCCCCATCTGAGGCAGCGGCGCGCGCGCTAATTGCTCTGAGAGAGATCGATTGTGGCGGCACGGTAAATGTCTTTATTAAAAGCCACGTCCATTAATGCAACTCACGCACTCCCTGCCGCCGCCCGGGCCACCTATTCACGCCACCTCCGCCGATGCCCTCGCCCGAGCCTAATTTGCACACGCATAAGATTCGTCCACACGTCCGATTCGTGCACACGTCCGATTCGTACACAGTCCGATTCGTACACAGTCCGATTCGTACACACGTCCGATTCGTACACAGTCCGATTCGTACACACGTCCGATTCGTATACACGTCCGACTCGTGCACACGTCCGACTCGTGCACACTTCCGATTCGTGCACACGTCCCGCTCACGCACACGCCCGATTCGTGCACACGTCCGATTCGTGCACACGTCCGATTCGCACCGCGCTCGATTCGCTGCCCCGCGACCGATTCGCACGCCCCCTTCGGTTATCGCTTCCACCTCCCAATAGCACTCCCGATAATTTTGATTTTCATTGTTGTTGGCATTTTCACTTTTTTGTCTTCGCGTTATACTTAGTAATATATTCGTACGTAGTATAGAGAAACTTATGTAATGCGGAAATAGATTTCTAGATTTCAAAGAAAATACTTGTTTTGGGGTTTCCTGCTACCGGAAAATACGTTGTTTTTTTCATATCGTTCGTCAGTCAGTCAGTCAGTCTCTCTGTCGGTCCATCCATAAGAGCTTTTTGAAATTGAATATTATCTGGCCCGACTGAAAGCCTTGCAATTTTGATTATAATTATTTTAATTTTAATTATATTCATTAAAATTAAAATTTTACATTAAGCGATTAGCGTCGCGAGCTTTCCGCAAGTTTTTCTTACTGCAAGTACTGTGAATGTTCCTGGCATGTGCCATCTCATGAGTTCCTGCGTCTTTCCTATTATATTCACAGTATGTACCACTGGACGCTATGATACATATACTCATGTGCTACATATACTCATCCCATGATCTCCAACATGTTAATCGCAAAAAAATCTCAATTTTTAAATCAAAATTTAAAGTATCTACGCGCAGGAACTCAATTGGGATTAATCGATTGTTTTCCGAGCGTGTCAACTCTTTTGGTTATTAGTACCGCGAATGTTGCGCATGTTATATATTGGGTAGTGATGTTGTTTCTTCCCGGATAGAATGTGAGATCCAGTGTAAGTCGATTTGCGAAGGTTTCCCTCTCCAGATACATCCACTCACGGGTATCGGGTAAGCAAGTTCGGTGAGTTAGTTTTGCAGCTGCAGTGCCTCTGACCGGGATGTCCTAGGGTTCGAATCCCGACGGTGGCGGAATTGATTGATTAGTAATAATGGGGACGTCAACGGCTGGTAATTTGTCCCGTAAGTTTAGTACGTGCTTTGTATCGCGGGAGGTGGCTGTGACCTTCCCCTGCTTGGCGAAATCCGGCGCCGACCTATCCTTTCGGCTTACGGGGCTTTCCCCTACCAGGTGTCTCCCACCAGCCAGGCACCGCCCTAGTCTGGGCGAGCTCTAATCTCTCGACTGGACTCCCAGCATTTGTGGGGGTGTAGTGCATACGAGTTTAAGTGTGTGTAAGTAAGGGGTGAGGATAGGACAAGGAAGAGGAATACGAGATCGCGTGCGGTCCGAGGCTGACTTTTTAGGGCACTGCTTCTGCATTCGCATAGTGTTAATCGGAGAGACCATGAACGTCTGATCAGAGCAGCCGGTCACTAGAATATGTTATCCTCCAGATAGCGGTTGAATACGACCTAGCGTGGAAGCTATCTAGCAAGGGTCGAAAATCCTATCCCCTGACAGTGCCGATTTTCCACAACAGCTATGTAGAAACCAGACGCTTCCCACAGAAGAATTCTATTTTAGTGTGGAGTTTTCTATCTCAAAAACGTATGATATACAATAGGATTTGAGTAAACTTTAAAGTGAAATACAATTTTTAAAAAAATTGAAGAATGGGTTCGAAGAACGTGGAATTGCAAATTGCTATGTTAAGATCAGTATGAAATAATTGGTACTGATTATTAAATAGTATTGAGATAATGTTAAATATTTTGTAGTATGTAAGATTTACAATATTTACAAAGAATATCTGGGTATTTGTGTATCAATAATTGGAAAAGTTTTTTTACTTTTTTGTTAAAATATACGTGTAAAAAGATATCATTTATTTAAAGTAGCAACTTCTTTGAAAATAGTTTCGTGAGTTCTAATTTATCTACCTTGTAAAATTATCTTGCGTGTTTTTGTTGCGATAATTGAACCTTCCACTTTCTGTTTTTTTTATTTGTAGCACAAGTGGCTGGAAAGTAATTTTCTTACATAAATAGATATAGCAGATAACACTTTCAATCTAATATCCGTCTGACACGAGTATATAAACACCATCTTGCCCCTTGCACTAATTAAGTAGTCACTGTGAACATATTCCGATTAGCAACGTCAAGGTTAACAGCTTCGTCAAATTGTTCATGAAAGGCTTGTCCTTTGGTTTCAGGTTGGGGCCTTACATTTGGAATGGAAACAAATGTTCAGGACGCACTGCTCATCTATTGTATTAACTTTGTTCATATTTTTCGTGGCTGCGAGAAGAACCTAATTTTTGTTAATCCATTGTTGGTTAATTATAATTCATTTATTAAAACAATAAAAGAACACGTTTGCATCAAATATGTCATTTAATCACTGAAAGTTACAAACACTTCGAGGACAGATTTATGATCAAGACATGACATTTACGACAAAGAAGATTGGCGAACCCACGAAGCTCTAAAATACTGCAATATATAGGGTGCTTTTCACTTCCTTTGCGGGAGCTCCAGTCGCAAAGCAACAGTTATAAATCCGCATCCGAAAGCAGGACAGCAAGTTTGATCACCAAACACATTATCAAAAATAGAGCGATGAGGCGATCATGCTGTCAGCAGCATAATTTCCTTCCGAGCGTCATAATTTCCAGCTAATGGACTTGTTTATTCTGACGATCTCTTCATCGGAGTCGTCGAAGTTTTCGCTGGCACCGCCCCAAACGCCCGCCGTCACAAATCCCTGACTGCAAGGGTCAACGAGCGACACATAAAGCCAACCGGAAGCCCCCGGAATGCCCGAAGATCATTTGAGAAATAATTCTGAAATTACAGCCACTTGTGTAAATTTTATTAAGGCGTGTTCTTCTTGGCGGGAGCGTTAGTGAACGGAGGGGTGCGCCCCTCGCGGCGCTCGCGGTTTCTGCGTTGCGGCGCGGGGCGGGGGGTTGGCAGCGCGCAGAGATCTTTATGTGGACGTTCCTGCGGGAGGGGAAGGGGCGGAGGGGGCGGCTCCTTCGCGGGTATTTAACTGCTTCGGAGGTGGACGGGGCAGGGGCGTGGGGGATGCGGAGGCGGGGTGAGAGGTGCGGGTGGAGGTGGAGGAGTGGGCGGAGGAGGCGGTGGAGGGCTTCTTTAATCGAGTCCCAGATCTTGGGGACATGCTCGTTCGAGCGCGTGCTTGTCGTGTTCGCCTACCAGTTTTCCACTGGGTGGTCTTGCGACACCAAAGAGTGAAGATGCTGAAGAAGGGGGGGGGGGTTCTTAGAAAGGGTGCGCGATCGATGTGTGTGTGAGAGAGAGAGAGAGGGAGGCATTTGGCAGAAGAACTCTCGTATTTAGGGTCTAGGTCCAGTTCTGAGATGAAATTTCCTAACGTGGAATACATATATGCTCACAAAATGTTAAATTTGTGATGAAAACAATAATTGCATACATGTTTAAAGAAATGTTAACAAGTTTAAAATCGAATAATATGTTCCTTATAACTGTCTCATATGAGCCATATAACTCATGTACTCTACACACATATAATTCAGCAGCCGTTAATTCACTTTATTTCTGGACAATTCATTGTGGTGTAATTCAATAAAATATAAATTCCTTTGTTGATAGCGGGTGTTTTAAAACTCCTCGTGAGATGTGAGCTCGTCACTTGCCACGCGTTAATATAATAAAGTAAGAATTTTCAAAATTACTGTTTTGATTCAATTTCTTATGAGAACAAGGTACAACTTGTTCTTATAAGTTATCTTTGGTATTCTTTTTCGCAGTCTACGTCGTAGCATGGACAAAGTTTTGTAAAGCTGCAGCGAAAACGGCGATTTTACGATAGAAAATAGTTGTTTATGCAATTAGCTTACAATTTGAAGCTTTATTGAATGAATATGTTTTGAAAACGAGCGACATTAGAATCGACTTTTCAAATTTCTACGAGTGCAATAAAGCAACATTATAAAAGAGTTAGATATGGTATTTTTATAACAGCATTAGTATAAATTTATAAGAGAATCAAACTTAATTTTGCGAAAGACCTTTCTTGTGACGTCTCGGGTATTTCACTTTACGAGAAAACGGAGGTCAGCTGTTCCGTTTAACTCCACATCCCCACGATTCTCGCACTGCGATTGACTGAATGTGCGGTGACGCAGTCATTCGAGCCGAAAAATCTAAGACATCATCAATTGTGCCGTAAAATGCCCGATTATGAACGATTTCTTGCAACAGAAAAGCTAGTTTATAATGCTGATGTACAAAAAACTCGTTGTGTGGATTGATTAAACCACAAAAATTGATATTCTTGCTCCAATATGCAGCAAATGACTGCCAGTAATGCATTGTGTAGTCAGAATCCACACTTCGTTTTTCCTTGAATACCTTGAAAAATTGATTTTCGACAGAACGTCACTCTTTCTCTGTGTCCATCTGAAAAAGAAGCTAGTGCCTTCCCCACAATATTCACCAAATTTGATATTCCCCAAACGATCTCGCTCATGTTGCGGCCCTTTCAATTTGAAATTGATATTTTAATTTTTAAGGGTTCTTTACATGACATCTCAATGGCATTTTCAAAATGTTGTAAAAAAATTGTTCCAATTTTATCTTTAATATTTGTTTTTTTTTCATAGAGGAAAGTTCGCCAATGTAAATGGTGTAAGTCCGATTTTTGTTGAAATCTGTATTTTTTTAAATTAAAAGGTTTAAATGTTTTCGTTGTATTCTACAATAACAAAGGCGCTAACCCGTAATGTTAGTGCTCATTTGGATGGAACAAGAACTAAACACAATACTGTTGACTAATAAAACAAAATACTGTTGGTCCTAAAGAATTTTAGCATGTTCAGGTGGAAAGTTTACTTTCGCCTAGAATATTGTGTGTCCATTAGCACGTTTTGTATTCATCACAATATCTGAATTAAGCATTTCACAGCGCTAAGAGAAGGAAACTTGCGTTACGACGTGATTCCCACTAGTGTGTAAGTGTTTGATGATTTTGTTTGAGATTTGTGGAAGACGGCGAAAGAAATATGTGCCTACAATTTCATTTCAGTACACATTGGTGGATTGAAGTATGTGTTTTAAACGAGTTTTTAACATTTCATAAAAGATGAAATAAGATAAATGTAAAAAAAATGTTTCTTATTTATTTGTGATTATTTATGAGTATCTACCTGTTACGGAACGTTTATAGCTTTTAACTTTTGTTGCTTGTAAATAAATAAAATCTCTATTGATAAATCATTTATTGACCTACATCTAAGTGTTTTCAAATTTCAGACAGTTACACATGACAACTTTTATCTGAAGGATCTATTTTGAGAATATAGTAAAGTTCCGAATTTTACTCCAATGTAATATTTGTGTTCGTCTTCACAACTTATTTAGGGGTTTCCTTGATCCAAAACCGACTGTCCAAATCTGCCCTCCAATTGAAAATCCAAAGTTTCTCACTGATTGCCCCTTGATTACCCGCCGACAACGTGGTTTTCTTAAAGTCCTGTCGAAATATTTAAATTAAGTTTTGACACTAACACAAATTAGGTAGTGAGTCCTAACGATCCGTACCACATTTCTAGACTCTGTGGGTTAACTGTCTCTAAATAGTCGATTTCGTCAGTATTTTTGAGTTAGATGTCAAGTAATTATCAGTTTTAAAATTTTTTAGCGACAAAAACTTTGAAAAACAACAGGAATTTTGGCAAAATTTGTTAGCATAGGCTCCAATCTAATAGAAAATACTTGTATCGGCAAATGAGCTACAGAGTGGTTTCTTGATATGTTGCAGATTAAAATAATAATTATTTCATAATGTGAGCAAACAGTTTAAGATCTCATATAAAAGTGATCTCATTTAAATAGTAGTACATGAGCTGATGACAGTAAAATTACTGGAGGAAATCTAAGAAACAGAGCTCGCTCGTTTTGTACTATACTAGTACTGGACTTGCTTCGATGCATGGCGAGCAAAGAAAAGTAGAGGTGCTGTATCAGCATATACTTTCTCGCATTATCGGAAATCGTTCCGTAATATTGTAATATTGCAATTTCTGCCCTACCAAAGCGTAGCGCACACTGGGTCGGTACGGCACAGATGGACGGGATTTTTTAAAAGTTGATTACATTGCTTCCCGCGCGCACTAGGCCGGCACGGACGGGACTGAATGATCCGCACCTTCCGCCTTTTGCAAAAAGGCCGAAGGAAAGATCTTCTGGACATTCTGACGTGTCGATGACGTCATAGGCACGGTCGAAATGCCCTTTGCGCCGTTTCGGTTGTGAGGTTATAAAGCGTGTGGAGCATTCATGAATGCGTCCATTGTAATTATGTTGAACCAGAATTATCCCGAGTTGTACAGCGTTATATGAAGTGTAATTTAATTGGTTAGATAAACTATCTGAATCAGAGAGTAACATTTGCCAAATTGAAATTTCTAGGTATTTATAGAAGCTGTGCACTGTTGGTGAAACTAGGTTCAGTTGTGCTCGGTGAATAAATTATGCCATGTTTTGAAATAAATCATTAATTCATAAATCAATGTAATTTTGTGTGTGTCTTGCGTAAATTGTAGTGCGTGTTATTTTCGTAATTAAGTAATCCAATTAAGAGTCCGCCCCTTTGTTCAATTAATTTGTGTTACCAACATATTTATTCATATTGTATATTTTCAAGATATCCTTTTTGACTTCAAATTCATCATGAGACATCCTAAAGAAAAATAATAAATAAAAAATAATAAAAATTAAATAATTTTTCATATTCAACCAGTTCAGGATATAATATGTGAAATTCTTTTGTCATTATTCTTCTCTTCTGAAGAGACGATAATTTGGACTTTCTTCGACTGCTTGCATAATTTTCTTCTGGTATTAAAAATGAACCCAATGCGATTGCTTCTTTTGTTACATTATGAAGTTGCCGCGCAGAACTCAAGTCACAGAGCGAAGTGTCCGTGCCGTCCCGTCCTAGTGCGCGCGACTCACACACAAACGGCCGTTCGTCCAGTCCTGCCCGTCCGTGCCGTACCGATCCAGTGAGCGCGAAGAATAACTCCTTTGCTATAATTTTAAAAAGGCCAATTAAACCAATTGAAACGAAGTCCCTGTGGTGCATATCTGCATTTATTTCGGTAGTCAGGTACGGAAGTAATTTCTAACTTTCACAAATGAAACAAACATTAATATATTTGACACTTTCGTGAAATCCATCCTGTAATCTATTTCGTTTGTTTAGAATATTATCATCATGAAAAGCCAACAGTGACAAAACATCCCTGTTGCCATTTTCCGAACTAACAGCTTCTCGAACAAAGCGTCATTTTATTACCATTCTTTGCTACATACGAGAAAAAATAAGGAATGAGAGCCGTTTTTGAGAAATTAATTGTTTAAATTTAAAAATTGCGCATGTTTCTAGCAAAATTATGCAGAAAATAATAATATTATCGAAAACTTTAACATGAAGTTCGGGAAACGTAACGAAAATGCACCAATTCATTATGCA